TTGAAAAGTAGCCAGGTAACAAATAACTATCAAAAGATACATACATCAGGAAATTCCAATAAACCTATATCCTATACTCAGCATACTCTGGGATTCAGACTGTTACTTTAATTTTAAATAGTCTTCAATATTGTCTATCTAACTGGGCAATATAATGCTTGACAATGACAAACTGTAATATGAAGTTATAATGTTAACCCCATGGTTCATTATGAGCATTGTCATGCTATGCTATGGTTCATATAAATTAGTTATTTCTTTCATGAATCAGATCCAACCTAGTGCAAATCTACACAATTTTATGGAAATTCTAACATGATCTGGCCACTTACACAAAAAATGTAAACAACTGTAGCTATCTGAAATCATTCATAGAGGTCCTTTTGATGCCTGCAAATACCTGCTTGCAAAACCGGGAGATCTACTATAGCAACATTTGGAAACCTGCAAGGCTGAAGGTAAGATCTTACCATTACTTCACGGTAATTTCATTATGCCAACATCACCACTAAAATAAGCATCTCTAATTGCTTGTTCCCACCCCCTCCTTTTAGTTCCTGGTGTTTCTTCTCTTGGGCAAGTACAGACACCCACACAGCCAAGTTGAAACAGATCGTGAATTTTAACCTGAAATACTTTATTGATTAGTTCACTGGATGGCTGCTAAACACAAGTTCTAATGGAAGAGAAGAGATGACACAGGGGTGAGAATTAGGGGCCAGTGACGGAAAAAAGGGCAGCCTGCTTCTTTGGGGAGTAGTGCCAGCTTATACAACAAATATCTGCATATTCCACCTATGAAATTCAGTGTTAGACTGGCAACAAGGCAGGGAGAATAGGAGCCAGCCAGATCGATGGCTGCTGAGAGACATGACTGAAGAGTTTCTGACAATATTACACTGTTGGAAAGAGCTCTCTTTTATTGTAACCAAAATTTTGAGTGTAGCCAAAATTTTCAGTGTAAGCAAGCTTATTCCGAGAAAACTTGAAAACTTAATGTGAACACGAGACATAAAAGGAAGTTTTGATAGTGAATTTTTCAACGTACTCTGTTTGTAATGTTTTCAGAGAGGATAGGTCTTATTTTTCTGTTCCAAAATCATTGTTTCTTATATGCAACATACTAAACATAACAACAATTTTAACCATACAATGTCATATTTCTAGTATTTATTTTCTTTTTTTTTTTTGGAAAGTGACCATTTTTCAGGAAGTGTTGCAATCTTTGTTTTTATTCTGAATTAGAATAAAACCAAGTTTTTAAATTGTGAAATTCTCTGGGAAATCCAAACCTGATTCTTGCACCTCCCTCTGACAACTATGCAGTTCAATACAGAAGAGGCACAGTCACTGCTGTGAGATTTTTGCAGACCTGTAAGGTTCGTGAGCTCCTGTATCAGCTTTAATTTGACCATATTCACTTTGATCAATCAGGCTTCACTCACACTGCAGTATTTTAGCTGCCACCAAACAGTAGTGATAAAATCAGTAAATTCTGACCAATGTGCTGCAGCCATCTCAGGGTATCGTTAGGCTTCAATCTTGTGCTTCAGCATAGCAACATATTTAAGCAGTCTTAGCAGAATATACATTTATCTCCTACAAGCTTTATTAAATTCAAATCTGCTCACACATAGCGACAGCCTTTATAAGCAGCTTTGATCATTTAAGTGTCAATGCAGCTTGGCAAAGGGAATCACAAGCAGCTTAAAAAAATGTAAGCCAATGACCTTAGACTCTCAACTTGTTGATAAAGGAAAATTTTCCAGGTCCTCCCTCTGACTATGATTAATGGATGCTTTCGAGTGGACCAGTCCTGACAATCCAATTACAGCAACACTCAGCTTAAAGGTATAATTTATGTGCCCCAGACACCGAAAAACATGGCTTTGGAGAAATGGAGACAATGAAGCATTACCATTTAGAATAAACTCAATATACTATTAATTTCATCCTTGACAGTTTAGGTTCCCTTTCATTTGTTATTTGATTTCAATTTCTACACCTTTCCAGATTGTGACAGAGCAACCAGAATTGCCATAAAAATTTAATAGCTTTTAAAACATAAAAAATAGATGCACTTACATTAGATTTTTTTTTAAATTATTTTTCAACCACTTTGAATTAAATTGACTGGACTTTTCAAAGTACCCACAAAGCTTCAGAACACATCTGACTTAGAGAACCAATGCCAGTGTGATTTGTGATTCCAACTGATTTAGGGACTGAATAAATCAGCCTCAGGATATATGCATTAAATGCATAGCATAAAAATATTTTAAATTACTTTTTAATGTACTTCTCAATGCTTGAAATAACTTTGGGAGTGGTAACTGCTCTGATTAACTAGCTCACAGTATCAGATATAGTTGTATTGCAACTGATTCTAAACAAGTAACTAACGAAAAGAACATAATTGACCTCACTCATGGAGACAGATAAAAGTCTATTTATGTCATTGTGATTGTCAGTAACGAAGAAACCCATGTATGGATAGAGTATCTTCACGCTGTGAGACGTGCTGTGTTCCGCAGCAGACAGAGCTTTGTTATACACTTTCATATCTGAATGGCCAAAGTACTAGGTCGCATAGAAGAGAATAAAGGAAAATCACTGAAGAACATTTTTTAAATTGATGGTTAAACTTCCAAGATACTTCTTCCAGTCACTGATGGTATTTTCCATTTACATGTTATCTAATCTGCAAGCATATTCCACAGAATTTTCTTAGGTAAAATTCCAGTAAACACCTGTGAAAGTCCAGACTAAATGACAATGTCAGGATTTAGGCTTTACATCATAAGGCAATTGGAAAAGGTCCTGTATTTCATATTGCACTGGGCACAATGACAATGCTTGAAATGTAATATAATATTAAGACCTACACCGGTAAAAGATATTTAAAAAATTTTTTTTGTAAGCACATTTGGTATTTTAAAGAAAACTTACCTTTATAGAAATTACGCTCAGAAATCAGGCAGTATCTCCCATCCCGAACAAAAAAGGCATTGACTATTACATCCAATAAGGATTTATATTCTATGCATCCAGCTAGTGTATCCAACACAAATTTTTCTTCTGTCACATTAAGTGTCTATAATAGAGATACAAAATTAATAATGATTAATGTGTTCTGGGAAGACAATGTTAGTTGTATACAAAAAGAAGTACAATCATTTTTAAGTAATTTGAAAACATGAACAATGAACAGCAATGCCTTTGGTAGGGCTGATGCACTTCTACTACTATCAAATATGGGCAGTCCGAACAAATTAATTGCCCTTGTTAAGTAAAATGTAACCTTCCCCAGTGTTAAACTTCCAGTTTATCTGCTGACATACACATTTATTTAAAATGCCTTGATGTGTGAATGTCAATAGTTAATGCAAAGAAAATCTGAAGTCTCTGAGCTATGAGCAATGATTAACTTAGCCAGCAGTACAAGAAAGTTTCAGTAAGAGTCTGCTTTTCCAGTAGGAAACCTGTTCTTTGCAGGTGAAGTCTGTGCTACCTGGGGAGACTAATCGAGGGGAGAAGCTGAGGAGGGATTATGGAAAAGATTCTTAACTGATACTGTAACCTAATATTGGAGAATATTGCTATTTTAAACTAAACCTGTGAAGTGCCAGGATTCTTGTTAATGCAGACTATGTGTTTCTTATTTAGCTGTGCTCTCGGTCACTCACAATTGTCATGTAATACCAAAAAAGAACAGAAAGAAGGAGTGTCCGATGCTCACTGCACGCTGTTTGGATCCTACATCATGATCCCTTTAAAAATCTGAGTGCTCCTGAACTTTACATGGTTTCACTCATAATAAATAACCTATTAAATATCTGTTACTACATGAGATAAACTTCTAGTATGACCCATCTTTAAACATTGCAATAAAATCTGAAAACATTTTGTTATTATCTGAACTGAAAAGGGACAGCCACACTATGACAAAATGACAAACAATGATGAGTCTTTGACTTAAGGAGGTTAGCCAAGAAGCCAACAAAAGAGCTAAGTGCATCTTCTGAAAACATGCAGCCCACATTTGATATATGACCTCTCCCAGAGCTCTGTGATGTGGGAACAATTGACCCTCAATAATTTGTAAGATCAGAGGTTCACCTTGCCTAGTAGGCTATCTGGTAGCATCTTGATTGTTTCATTTCCCTAATGTGATTAATTTCTAGTTTAAAGGTATTATTAGAGGCTACTGGAAGGAACTAGGTGAGTATTCTGATGTATGACTCTACGTAGGGCTTTGAGACTGAGAAAATACAAGGCAAAACTTTAAAATTACAGTTCTAATTTTTGAATGTAAAAGATGATGCAGAAGCATTCCAAGTATATTTTCTCAGGTTGTCATTCAGAGTAAGCATAATTATTTTTCACTGCTCCTGCTCAAAAGCCAGGTTCCATTCATTCCAGTTTGTGCATCATCACTAGAAAAAAAATTAGTGCCTCCATGTAATTCTCTCCATATCCATATATGTTTATATACGCATTTACATATACACATGTATGCAGGCAAAATTACACCTACACACACCCTTGTAATTTCTTTACTGCCTGAGATTACACTAATGCATCTGACTACCTCTCTAGCAGAACTGTAATAGACAATATAACGAATGATACACGCACAGAAACAGAATCGAGCTCAGCTTGTGGTTTTTAGATCCTTAAGGCTAATAATAGTTAAAATGATAGAAAAGCTTTATTTCTATAACTGAAGTAATCAGATATGACTCAGAGTGTATTCTGTGACCCAGATATGCTCGGTAAGAAGAAACAGACTAATCACTACATGGAGACATGGAAGCTTCAAGTCTGTTGGGCAGCACCAGAGACTGAACATGAATAAGCAGGATATCACCCACATCCTTCATCAGGGCTTTAGAGAAAGAAGAACCAACAGGTTGTGGTTGAGATGGGAGAAAGATAAAGGGGAATGCATTTGGGAAAAATGGAGCCAACTAGAATGAGGTGGCAAAGGAGGAGCACAGAGGAAGGAGTAAAAAGGAAGGTAGGGGAAAAAGGAGATACAGGTGGCTTAGATGGAGGATGGACACAGATGGAAGGGCAGAGGAAAGACACCGAACACATCTGAAAATATATAAAAAAAAAAAAAATTGATGGGAATCACAGACTCTATCTTGCTAAGCACTAAGAATTCTTGTGAGGTACACAGTCTGTTCAAATGTACCTTTTCTGGATTAATATTTATGGAAGTTCTTTGACAAAACTTACAAAGAAAATCCAGAAATCTAACTCCCCACTAAATGCTCAAATATATATCCCATATTTGATATGAGATATCACAAAATTCACAAAAGGCAAAACCAAACCTAAATACCTCAGTGGCCAAGTGAGAGAGGACAACATAGTTCCAGTAAAAGTAGGATGGTGATATTTTGAATCTAAACCAATTGTTCCCTTTGAACGAATTCTGTTGTTCACAAACAGATCAATTTGCAGACAACCGTAGCTCTGATAATAAACAGAAAGTCCATAGTAAAATGGGACAAGCCCATTGGAAACAAGCCCAATGAAAACTCTCATAACTATCTCCACTAGAAAGATGGACTATAAACTGTTTCCAAGACCTTTACTTAGTTAGAATCTTTGCATTCACCTCCTGAGTACTTTGATATATTGTACATGTATGAAGTGCTACAACAAACAAGAGCTTCTCAAATGTACTTTGGACAGATGACCAAAAGTAGATAAACAGATAACAAGATGACAGCAGTGCCCAAATAATACCTCCTATACAGTTTAGACTACAACATAAAAATGCAACTGTGCCCCAGAACATCAGTACTGACAGGTAATTCTGTGGCCCACAGGCCAAAAAGTCCTGTCATGAAATATCCACTGAATCTGCTTTCAAGTACAAATGGTACTAAATGTTCCATTTCTACACATAAAAATTTTGAATAGTTAAGCTGCCTGCAGCTGTGTCATCTAAGGAAGTGATCTCATCAGAACTCAAACTAAACAAGACTGGGCAGGATGAGGGCTTGGATAAGAAATCTCAAAGGTGAGCCAGTTGTTGGTTAAGTCCTGCTGATAAACTAGTGCATCAAAAACTGAGCCCATGCTTTAGAACAGTTAGGATACTCTCTACATAGAAAGTGCATTGTGTCCTTAACAAAATTCATCAGGATATTTATAATTTATCTGTACATCTGAAATCATAAATGCTTTTGGAAAGTAATACGTTGTGTAGGTGTAATTTCTAGCACTAATTCCTCAGTGCATTCTTTCTGTGTGGCTTTATATTGCATTTTATGTCAGTGTGATGTATTGCAGAAGTGGGTCAAATGATCTTGAAACAGTACAACATGATGACAGATTGTACATTCATAGCACCTTTTGTATGAGGTTCTGAAAACACTTTAAAAACATTAATTGGATTTAATGAGATTCCTTATGGCTAGTATTATTTTGGAAATGCAGGAACTACAGTATGGAGCAGATAAGAGATTTACCCCAGATGGCACACTAAGTCCCTGGTGGCAACAAAAATGACTGAATGCTGATTTGTGAGCTTTTGTTCTCTCCATTAGACCACCTTTGTGCCTTTTCAAGTATACTTTAGCTCATGTATTTCTCTGAAACAAATAGCAGTTAGCTATGTTTGCAAGAACGTTGTGTGAGTCCTTCAGCATGAGGAAGGCCAGATAATTTACAGGTGAAAGTAACATATGCAGCTGTCATCTTCTGTTGCACCAAATACTGGAATTTATGAGAAGACAGAATAGATCTTGAACAATATGCCTATTCTGTGCTCAGGAAACAACCTCTCTATCTTTTACATTACAGCTTATTATTTATTTTGTTGTGTAAAGCATAGTAAGTTTACTGTAGATGAATACTGGATGGTCCTATATTTTTTAAATTTTGGAAGCCTATATGGTACTGTGTTGAGTAATGGCTGCACCAAATATAAGTAAAATACAGTTGTGTGTGTTCACAATGTCATTCCCATACAAATATCTGAAAGTGTTCTCTCTATGGCATTGAATTTCAGCTTTTTCTGATTCCCAAGTGTTTAAGCTGTAAAAGAATGATCCTGTCTGAAATTATCCTGAATGACCCCGTGAAAAAGATGCAACTCTTGTCTGAATATGTGCTGATTGGTGTTATCTCCCCCTTTTGATAAATCCCTAATGCCCTTAGCCTGCTTCCATGGACGTATTTTCCTTGCTTCCTGACACTTAGCCGTAGCTGGGAACCAGTCAAGTTTATTCAAGGAGAGAAGAGACTCTATAAGAAAACTTAAGTATAGGACATCGTACACAAACAACTTTCAACATCTCTTAGTACAAGAAATAGCTGAACTAAACGGAGAAATGTCTGCAAAAAGCAAGTGTTGGCACTGTGGGTGTATGGCAATAAGGATGGTTACAATGGGACCTGTTTAAGGTCAAGAGAGATCAGAAAAGGATGGTAAGGAGAGAAAGAAAAGCTCTTGTTTCTGGAGAGAAGAAAGGGAAGGAACACCAGCCATGCCCTGTTTGAGACTTCTCAGGATAAGGAGTTAGTTTAAGGTGAAACAAATATTTTAGAAAGAAGATAATATACGATAAAAAGATGAAATAGAATCATAGAATAGAATAGAATCATTAAGGTTGGAGAAGACCTCAAGGATCATCAAGTCCAACCATCAACCCACACCACCTAACTCACTAAACCATGTGCCTAAGCACCATGTCTACACGTTTCTTGAACACCTCCAGGGATGGTGACTCCGCCACTTCCCTGGGCAGCCTGAAGTTGATGATTGAATTACGCTGTCAAAATAAACATGAGAAAGCATTTTGCAGGGAGACTTTTGGGGGGGATGAAGTGTGATCTGTGTGCCAAGCATAAACCCAAGACTTTGAGCTGCTCCCCAGCTTGACGTGGCTGCAGATTTCAGGTAGTTGTAGAGAGTGATAAGGTCTCCTCTCAGCCTCCTCTTCTCTAAACTAAACAACCCCAGCTCCCTCAGCTGCTCCTCATAAGACGTGCTCCAGACCCTTCACCAGCTTTGTTGCCCTTCTCTGGACCTGCTCCAGCACCTCAATGTCCTTCTTATGATGAGGGGCCCAA